GGTGTAACCGGGCCCGGCCTGCGGCCTGCGCCTTGCCGAGCCGCCTGCTTCTTGCTTCCAGGGAGCAGCGAGCGCTTCTTCCCTCCCCGCCGGGTCCTGGGGCTTCGCCGGCGGCGCGATGGACTTGGCCTATGTCTGCGAGTGGGAGAAGAAGCCGAAAAGCAACCACTGCCCCTCCATTCCCCTGGTGTGTGCATGGTCCTGCCGCAACCTCATCGCTTTCACCACAGACCTCAAAAACGAGGAGGAAAAAGGTACAGCGTGCTTTGTGGAAGGTTGGCTGACACCTCCGGGAAACTCACAGCGCCTTTAGGCAAGTCCTGCCACCAGGAACTGCTGGCCGGGTGGCCTGTGCTCGGCTTTGACCCTGAAATCTCTCAGCAGCACTAATCAGTGCAGGAAAGTTGTGCTCGCTCTTTTCCTTCCATTCCTCAGATTTAATGGGCGTTTTGGTCACTGGGGAGTGGTTCTCACTCTGCCAAACCAGGGCAAGCTCTGCCTTGGCAGCTGGTGCCTCACCTGAGTTGCCAAGCACAGTTGTTACCCTTCCCAGAACTGCTCGGTGGAAAATATTTTGTGTTTTCCCCTGTATCAGCTGAGGTTCATTGGGTCTAGAAGTGCTGGCCGGGTAGCTGGTAGCAAGGCACAGCGATTCACTTCTCTTTTCCTGTAGATCTCACCCATATGGTCCATATCATCGACACCGAGCACCCGTGGGACGTCTATTCCGTCAACTCTGGCCATGCTGAAGTCATCACTTGTTTGGAGTGGGATCAGTCGGGTGAGCTCGGATCCCTTCCTGTTATCCTGGTGTCCTGCTGTTCATGCGCGTGCGTTTCCTAAAACAATGGTTCACGATTCGTTGTGGAGGGGGAGTTTGTCCATCGCATCGCAGCCGTGAATTGGCCGCCATCTCCATTCGAACTGCGCTGGGGTGGTTTGATTTCTCGGTTGATTTTTTTTTTGGCTGTACCCCCTGGTTCTTACGAGGTGCCGTTGTCGTAGGGTCCAGGCTGCTCTCAGCAGATGCGGACGGCCACATCAAGTGCTGGAGCATGACTGATCACTTGGCCAACAGCTGGGAGAACACCGTGGGCAGCATGGTGGAGGGAGACCCGGTTGTGGCTCTGTCCTGGCTGCACAATGGCGTGAAGCTGGCGCTGCACGTGGAAAAGGTTTGTCCCAGCTCTGCAGGGGATCCGGTCAGGAAGGCTGGCTCGAGTCGTTAGCAAAGAACTTGGGGAACCCCCTGCTTGTGTTTCTCTCTGCTCTGCGCTTCCTCCATATCCTTGGGCAAGTCGAGTAGGGGAGTTTTTCCGGTCAAAAAGAAA